GCAAAACATTAGCGATAAAGAATGCACTTGAAAAATGTTTAACCGAGAAAATGTTATACCGTATTTACATAAAATTAGGTCAGATTGTACAATAGTCTGCTTAAAAATTATTTAAAAAAAACTTACTTAGTTAAGTTGGCTGCTTGAAAACGCTACAGCCCTGAATATTTTGGGTTATATTAGAAGGCATTGCTGAACTCACTATGACTTTTGATTACTAATAAAATAATAAGATACGCCTTCACTTTCACCTTTTGCCTTTAATCTTTTTGAAGCATAGTTTTTTTAGAAAAACTGTGAAGGCCGCTTTTCCATTCTGGAACTTTGGCCCTCTAAATGAGCAGAAAAAATTGTTCATTCTAATCTTCTGTGCTTGCTCCTAGCGTAATAGTGAAACACGTTCAAAATATAAAAAGCGGTTTTGGCACATACGTTTTTGGCGTCAGTCTAAATGCTAAATCTCCGGCCCTGGCTGGTTCGACTTTATTTAACTTTGCTTCATAAATGTGAACCCGCTACCTTTAGCAGGTCATTTACGGACAATTCCTATTAGTCCCTAGATATTTTTTCATATTTAGAGCAGCTATGTTTGCAGATATGAAAGTAACCTGCTTATATTCAGATAAACATTAAAATTCAAATCGCTGTACACTTTACCTGAAGTTGCTGCAAGGATGAATTATCCATTTGCCCTGACTGCGTTGTCTAGACCTCTCCTTATTCAAGGCCATTTTTGTACCGAACAGTTTTTTGGCCAACTTATTGTCCGAGGGTTGAAAGAAGGTCATGAATTGGTCCTTCCAGTAGTCTGTCGAACGCTTAATTCCATTATCATCTGGCCCCTGCGCCTCCACGTTATCTCCCGGCTCCATTGTCTGATCCTCCTCAGAAAGGATGCGTGGGAAACTAAAGTTGGATTTTAATTCATTCCCGAAATCCTCCGTGGTCTGCAGCAGGGCATTCTTCTTCCCGAATGGAGGGGGGACCTCCTCCTCTTCATCATCATCGTCGACGACAGGTACATGTGAACTATGCTGCGTAAAGCTGTCCTGGAGTGGTTTTACAGCTTCGCCTTCGCTTTGTCCAGCCAGCTCCGTCGTTTCTGCCTTTTCCGTAATCGCACCCATGAAAGTTGCTTCGTGCGCAGTCTGTCTATCGAATTTAGCATTAAATGCCTCCGGTGAACTATTTAGCGACCCAGTACCACTCAGCACTGGTTTCTTTGAAGCATTTCCGTCCATATTCCACGAGAGCAGACTGCTGACCTCTGAGGCATGTGCAGCCTCGTTGCAGATGACGGCAGTTGGAGGATGGTGGGGTTCGGAGGAGTTGGTTTTGTCATCCGACAACGCCGACGTGCTAAGCACCGTTATG